GTGTGTGTGTGTGTGTGTGTGTAGTATATATATATATATATATATATATATTTAAATATATATATTTATATATATATATATATATATATATATATATATATATATATATATACGTGTGTATAAATGTAATTATATTTCTATGTTAACATCTATGAATTTATTTACTATATCACGTATACATATATATCTACATACTATATGTACATATCTAGGTTTAACATACAAGCTTTCCGATTGGCGAGGTCTGATTCTTATCCATATATTATTATCGTATTGCTCTGGTCATACCGACTGTATACTAGTATACCTGCATCCTGTGCCTATCTTCTCCTGGGAAGACCTTTCCTACACACAGGTAAATTTATAGTCAGCTATAAGAATTCGAGCTAAGCTTATATCCGCACGTGTCTATGGTGTAGAGTTATTACGACTCTCTTCGATAGCCTTTCCAATCTCTTCACACATTTATATGCGTAAAGTTTGATCGTCACCTACGTTGTTTGCCTATCCTATGAAAATCATATATTGAACCCTCATGACTCTGTCTGCATTAATCTCGGTGAAAAATACTTTTTTTTTAAGTTTGCTATTGGCAAAAAGTAATTGATTTATAATGAAACTCATCTGGCCCTAATTGTATATATCTGGTAGAAAAAATACTTCGAGAATAGCAAAGATTACGAGATTTTGGTCTTCGACAATCGCGGAGTGGGGCAAAGCAGCGCACCAGCGGGACGATACACCACCACTATGATGGCTCAGGTAGGCATGTTACTGGTCAACTATATATATATATATGTGTGTCTGTGTCTGTGTCTGTGTGTGTATGCATATATATATATATAAATATATATATATATATATGTATATGCATATGTATATATACATATATGTATATATATCAGTATCTATACTGCCAGGCACTGACGCTGTATTCGCTTGTAGTTATCTATATCAGATAGGCATGCACTTTACTTTCCGATGTCATATGTAGCAAGCGAAGACGCTATTGTACGAGTCCTCACCCACCCATACTGCCGAGCCTTGATGCTATAAGTATACATGGTACTATCTCTTGTATATCACTAGTAGACATACCACAGAATTCCATTGCTACGATTTCATGTGCTAGTCACTACTCCGTCTCTGGCCGCCACAACAAGGCGAGAATATTTGTAGCTGGAGGTATTCACCTTATCTGTTCCGATTGATTTGTCCTATTTTTTAGGACACCGTGGGTCTGCTGGATGGCCTAGGCTGGGGCAAGGTGCATGTCTGTGGTATCAGGTAAAACTCTAAACCCTACTGCAGGGTGCTTACACGCCTTTGTGGATGTATTGCTAAGGTTCACGTCTGTGGTAGCAGGTAAAACCCTAAACCCTACTACAGGGTGCTGACACGCATTTGTGGATGTATTACTTTTGCGTCCAGATACTCATAAGTCGAAATCAGTATATGTTATACCAGTCTAAGTAATCAGTAGTGTGGTCTTGAGTTGGCGGATGAAACTGTAAACCCCTGTGTGTACGTTCCACTGTCCTTGCCCTTTAGGGGTAGCCGACCCACGAGGTCTTTTGCAGTCCTATGTAGCGGTATATATAAATGTCTTACTTGAGATCGCTATATATGTATGTAGGCAACATGTACGAATTTAAATGGAGCGTATATCACGCCACAAGCGTATCGGTCATCGCCCATGTCACCCATGTGCAGTAGAAGCTCACATGCCAGCGCACTCAGCTACACATCTCGTGAAGTTCAATTAGGACTGGTGTTCTACCTGCTACGGACAGGTTGGGTTCACTATCTGCTCTGTATATCGCCACCTCGCTGTGGAAAAGCTACTCACTTCTAAAAAAAAATCTTCGTCTTTTGCAGCATGGGTGGTATGATTTCACAAGAGCTTGCTCTTCTGCTAGGGGAGGAACGGTGTCTTTCTCTCACGCTTCTGGCCACACATGCCGGGTATGATACAGATTTGTGGTTGTTCATATAAAGATATATATTTATATATGTATATTATATATATACTTATATATGTATATTATATATATATATATATATATAGTGTGATATATAACTAAATTGGCATGATACATTTCCCTTATTGTGTCCCATGTATGGGGAGTATACACTACCTATGCATGTGTCCCCTATACTAGTTTCCAGTGAACACGTACGTTCGCATACATATGTCCGTATCCAGTTGTGATTGGGATGTATATGGGCTGGAATCAGTCTACGTGTGGGTGACGGTGGATGTACTTGTGCTCGCATACGTTTCTGGATCAAAGTGAGAGTTGTCTGGGTCATATACAGTGCCTTTAGAATAGCTAGGGCCTGTGCTGGGCGTATCACTACAGATTCATGAGTGCACAGAGGGTTTATGGCGGATGTACGTCAATTGCTGCCGTATGACTCGACGGCAAGCTACTTCACACAGTTCTGTACTTTTGTTTTGTTTGTTTTTTTATTGTGAGGGGGGAGTCCTTTTGCTTTTTGGGTATTTGAGTTTTGATTTCCACGCGGGTCCATTCAATCAACTACTGTTTTATATTTCTTTGCGATGTGGGGGCTCCTTTGTTCAAGTAATACCCTGATAGTAGTGCATCTGTCTCAAAAATTTAGGGCTGTTTAACATGTCACGACTCTTTATTGTGCACTTCGAACTTCGCCCATGAACCACCTATCGTTGACAATATCTTAAATAATCCCTCCGTAGTACATATACGTACCATCTATATATAATACATATATATATATATATATATATATATATATATATATAATACTTGCATATATACTTATTAGATTGTTCTGTGAGTGTTCGATTAAAAATCACGATATGATACCATGTATCATGCTACAATATCAGCTATCGCATCTCCTTTCTTAAAAGAATAGTTGTTGTTTTTTTTTCTCAGGGGCTGGTTAAACAAATTTCCGCCGATCAAAGGCGCTAAACACTTCCTCAAGTAAGTGTTGTGGCTTTGTTACAGATGGGCGTTTGCGTGTATATATGCATGTCATGTATGTATTGTATTGTATTGTATTTCAGTATGATTCTGGTAGTTATTTACATTATTCTATTGCCACACATGAGTTTTACATGTCATTGTATCCTTCGCATCGGTGTCCACCTCACAACAATCACTTGTATATTTATTGTGTGTTTCACCTATAGCGGTATGTTTTAGTGATGTAGTCGGCATTTGTACAGGGCTTGTGACCTAGTTTGCGTCTGTTCGTTTTGTCTGCGTGTCGAGGGCACCCTCTCCTCTGTCCCAGGGTGCTCCCAAGAGGACTCCCTTCTCCAATAACTAGCTGGGTAGTAAATCGACGTGTTGTATTGAGCCCTGGTCTAGTGTTAATACCCTATAGTTTGCGACTGCATGTGCGCACATAACTCAATCCGATGCAATTATTGCCCCATTTGCTGTTTCCATTTGGGTATGCATAATATATCCATACATAGCTAATCGAGTTTGTACCGCACTTTACTTTACTCTAGATGTATCGCTGACCACTCTCACAGGGACAGGCTGTGTATAGGATATATACATACGTGTATCTTGTGCTAGTCCCGGCTCTTTACTGCTCGAAATGGATCTTAGATCATATATTTCCGAGTGATCAATACAGATGCAGTAGTCTCAATCTTCACCGCGCAAGCTTAATTAGATAGCCTAGTTCGGCGAACGCCACTTGTTACCTGAAAAATAGGCTTGCCAACAGGTGAACCGTAGCGCCCATTCAGTATGTGAGGTCTGCATGATACCGACAAGCGTGTATAAATCTCAATCCGTCTTCTTTGTATTCTCCGCCATCTAGGGCCTTGACGTTCGACTCCAAGACAGACACTGAAGATGTGGTGGAAAACGCCATCCAGATGTTGTACGGTTCGAACACACTGTAAGTATGGAAGTCCCGTGTACCATACAATATAGAATTCCTCCTGTCTGTAATGATACTTGTATTGTGTAAAGTACTACATACCACACTGTAAGATTTTCTGCATCACATACGGGTTTCCCTCCCCAGTCCCTAAAACCTTGCTTGTATTGTGTGAAGTACCAAAAACCACGCTGTAAGAATCTCTACATATCAAAGGGTCTCCTCCCTTAAATCCTAAATGCCTACAACCCTACTTGTATTGCGTATTGTACTGCATACCTCGCTGCAAGAATCTCTACATTGCGAACGGGTATGCCTCCCTAAAACCCTGAAGCCCTGAAACTCTTTCGTGTTGTGTATTAAAAATCTATACAATACTTACGGATTTATCTTCCAAGAGATCTGAAACTCTAAACATCCATATGTACTGTGTTTAATACTACATATTTCACTGTAAGAATCTCTACATTATATACGGGTTTCCCTCGATGTGCCATTTGTGTATTTTGTTCGGGACTATGTCACTGTAATACCTCTGCCTCTTCCTATGTCTGCTTGATTCTTGTACCGTTCGAATGCACTATAAGAAGTTCTGTACATGATATGATTA